CACACACACACAGGCAAACAAACGCAAACAAAAACACGGGCAGATTCTCGGTAACTTGCTTTAATATTTCCATCTACATGTGTATGTCTCTTTTGTTTAATCTTATAACATCTTTGGTATTAGATGGAGGGGGTTGTTCCTTCGAAAACAGGACGTTCTATGTATGTATTTACATAGTACGTGCACACACAAGCATACACAAACACAAACATGCACTCGCGCACACACATACCTTCACACACACACACACACACATACCACACACACACACACACGCAGGGACACATACACACACACACGTACTAACACTGAGACTAACAATATCACAAGCCCCCCCCTACTATTTTGTTGAATACAAGACCCAGTCTGACCCAGACTGACCCAGAGTGAAGACCCAGTCTGACCCAGTCTGACCCAGACTGACCCAGAGTGAAGACCCAGTCTGACCCAGACTGACCCAGAGTGAAGACCCAGTCTGACCCAGTCTGACCCAGAGTTAAGACCCAGTCTGACCCAGTCTGACCCAGACTGACCCAGAGTGAAGACCCAGTCTGACCCAGTCTGACCCAGAGTTAAGACCCAGTCTGACCCAGTCTGACCCAGACTGACCCAGAGTGAAGACCCAGTCTGACCCAGACTGACCCAGAGTGAAGACCCAGTCTGACCCAGTCTGACCCAGAGTTAAGACCCAGTCTGACCCAGACTGACCTAGAGTGAAGACCCAGTCTGACCCAGTCTGACCCAGTCTGACCCAGAGTGAAGACCCAGTCTGACCCAGTCTGACCCAGACTGACCTAGAGTCCAGGGTAGTGGACCGAGTTGACCGAGGTGACCGAGTTGATCGAGTTGACCGAGTTGACCGAGTTGACCGAGTTGACCAGGGTAGTGGACCGAGTTGACCGAGTTGACCGAGTTGACCGAGTTGACCAGGGTAGTGGACCGAGTTGACCGAGTTGACCGAGTTGACCAAGTTGATCGAGTTGGACCGAGTTGACCGAGTTGACCGAGTTGACCGAGTTGACCAGGGTAGTGGACCGAGTTTGACCGAGTTGACCGAGTTTGACCGAGTTTGATCGAGTTGACCGAGTTGACCGAGTTGACCAGGGTAGTGGACCGAGTTGACCGAGTTGACCGAGTTGACCGAGTTGACCGAGTTGACCGAGTTGACCAGGGTAGTGGACCGAGTTGACCGAGTTGACCGAGTTGACCAGGGTAGTGGACCGAGTTGACCGAGTTGACCGAGTCGACCGAGTTGACCAAGTTGACCAGGGTAGTGGACCGAGTTGACCAGGGTAGTTGACCGAGTTGACCGAGTTGACCGAGTTGACCAAGTTGACCAGGGTAGTGGACCGAGTTGACCAGGGTAGTAGTTGACCGAGTTGATCGAGTTGACCGAG